CGATCACAAGATCATTTTGGTGGGACTCCCTTAAAAACGATGTGAAGGACTCTGTGCAGGCCTGTCCAGTTTATGCTGTTTCTACGGTCCCTCATAAGCTTCCTTGTGGTTTTAAAAAATTGCCATCCTCTCAAGACCTGGTTCTTATCTTTATACGCAAGGTTGCACGACTGCATGGCATTCCTCACAATATTGTGTCTGATAGGGGCTCTCAGTTTGTGTCTCAGTTTTGGAGGGTGTTCAGTAAACAATTGGGCATTGAATTGTCTTTTTCTTCCGCTTACCAACCCCAAACTAATGGCACTGCTGAGAGGGCTAACCAGTCATTAGAGTTATATCTGCGTTGTTTTGTAAATAGCACTCAAGATAATTGGTCCAAATTACTACCCTGGGCTGAGTTTGCTAGGAACAATGCTACCCATGACTCTTCTGGTCACAGCCTATTCTTTGTTAATAATGGTCGTCATCCTACTGTCCTGCCGGCTATTTTCTCCGAGACAACTATCCCTGCTTTGGATGATCGCCTTTCTTCTATCCGTGATACTTGGACCAAAGTTCATTCCACTCTCAAAACTGTGGCTGATCGCTTCAAGTTCTATGGGGATAAACGGCGGGGTGCCAACCCCGTTTACTGAGTGGGTCACAGGGTATGGTTATCATCATACAACATCAAATTGAAAGTTTCTAGTATGAAGTTTGCACCCAGATTCCTGGGCCCCTTTCGTATCCTTCAGTGGCTTAACCCGGTGTCATATTCTCTGGCCCTCCCGGCCTCATTTCGTATTCCAAATACCTTTCATGTGTCACTACTCAAACCTCTTGTTTGCAAGTGTCCCTCCTCCTCCCTTAGTTGTTTCTGGACAGGAAGAGTTTGAGGTCTCTTCCATAATTGATTCCAGGTTTTCTTGGGGCACTTTACAGTACTTGGTGGATTGGAAAGGTTATGGACCAGCCGATCGTTCTTTGGTTCCGGCATCTGATATACATGCTGGCCGCAAGATTCGCTATTTTTACGCCAAGTTTACTCTCAAGCCTGGTCCTGCCCACCCGGTGGGCATTCTTCAGGTGGGGGGTAATGTCACGTATTAATTCGCATATAAATGTGATTAATGACATTTACTGTTCTGAGAGGAAAAGTTGTGCCAAGCAACATTACTGTTCTGACAGGAAAAGTTGTCCCGAGCAGCAATCAAATCCACAGGAGGGTTTGTGCTGAGTAGCAATTATGCAAATGGGAAGCTGGTAACTGCCTTTGAGGTCAAAGGACGATTACAGCCTATCAGATCCAGAGGAGGGGTATTTAGGCCCAGTTCTCATCCTGCTCAGTGCCGTGTCATGGTTTCCTTAGTGGTTGACCGAGAGCGCGTTCCTGATTCAAGTTTCTTCTGGTTTTTGATTTTGACTTTCCGGTATTCTGGTATCCCTGACTTCTGGCTTTCCCTTATCGTTGTGTCTCTTTCTGTATCC